GTTTTGCACCAGGGTACTTTGCACGGGGGGTACTGAAAAAGGGGGGTACTTTGGTCAGTGCACTACGGTAAATGTACCCAGTATTGGTACTGAACATATGCCCAATTATTTTTTATACTATTGGACTGAACTGAACATTGGATATAATACTTGGATATATGTTCAGTTCAATATGTCCAATAAATTTAAAATATTTTTGATCAACACATAATCTAACAAAAAGTTTTTCTTAAATGATTTTATTATATTTCTACTAATTTTAACCTAATATAAATGCTAACCATAACCTTAACCATTATCACGACTTTCCGGTGTAATTGTGGAAAAGATTTTTGATTGGCTATTTGTCACATGATTATATATATATATTACGCCAATGTCCAATACTTTTTGGTCCAATGAACAAGGGTGGTCCAATGTCCAGCCCAATACTGGATGAACCCACAAACCACCCTTATGAAAATAAACCTAATTTTTACAATATTTTTTACTAATTAAAATCGACCAATTGACTAAGCCGGCAAAACCAATAAATTTATCGACTTAATTATTGACAAAGTTCTATTCAAACTTGGGTTGGAGTGGCTCCGGAGTATGCTACTCCATTAACAACCTTTACGCATGTTTGAATAAGGCCGAGTAAGGTTAGTGTTATTTTACCTTCCCGGCATTTTTTATCTGTTGTATTACCTGGTATTTCATAAGATCCTTTTTTGGTGTTGTGTGACTTGTACGCGACTCTCTTTGATCAAGTGATCCGGAAACATCAAATTATATCAAATTATGCTAAAATGCTAATTGCTAAATAATTGCGAAGAATTACATGAAATACATGTTCAGAAGAGTTTTTCATTAGTTTATAATAGTTTGTTTAAACTTGTTTGCGATATCGATAAATTAAAATCAGAAATTTAATAAAAATATATATTTAAGGTGGGCGATGCGGAATGTTCTGTACATAGGCAAAACGTCGTACAACAGTAACAAGAAAGTCATCCGTGTAATTTTGTAGTAAATGAGAAACTATATTTGCGTATTTGCGTATTTTATTGATTCACAATCCTGCGGACAGATTTGAAGAATATTTTGCACTTTTTCTTGAAATATATTTTATATAATGTCTTTGGCCTCAAGCTGTCAACCTTATGGTCAAAATGAGACACTTGTTTCGTCTATCCGTAATATTACAAAGGTTCGTCTTCGATACCTTTGAAATGCAATATTTATATATATTTAGGATATTCGTTTAATATCTTTTAGGATTATCCCTCCGAAAGTGTTTTTAAGGAATTTCTCCAAAATGGTAAGAATCTAGCCTAAATTTAATATTTGTTTTTTTTCCTTTTTTTTCTTTTTGTTTTGGTTTGTTTTGTTTTTTTTGAGTTCTGAATTATTATCTACTTAAAAAACGATAGCCGATGATGCAGGAGCTACTAGATTTCATGTAATAATTGATGCTCGTCGACATCCCACTGAGACTTTACTTTCAAATGAAATGAAGGCCTGGCAGGGTCCTGCCATATTGATATTCAATAATGCCAAATTTAAAAAAAGCGACTTTGATTCGCTTATGCAGATCCGTGTTGGTGGAAAACAAGGTGATGACACAAAGATTGGGAAGCATGGATTGGGCTTTAATTCATGCTACCATTTCACCGATGTTCCAAGTTTTATCAGTGGAGATTGTGTTGCGTTTTTGGATCCACATCAAAAATACTTGCCAACAAAAGAACGTGGTAGTATTGGAACTTTTCCAAAAGAAGGCGCCCAACCATAGTAAACACCTTCCGAACTCACAGAGTCTCAATCAGACAAACCGTTTATCACATAAAAAGACTATCGAACAAAAAGAGAAGGCAAAGCCCAATCGAATAAACAATTCTCTCAATAAACAAGAAGAGCTCGACCAAGAAACTAAAGAATTATTTGCAAAAATTAAGAAGCATAAACAACATTACCACACTCCTGAAAAGAGAAAAGCATAAACCACAATTATGACCCTATAAAAGTACCGATAATACAACCTGCACCCGACAATAACTTATACAATATATTCCTTCGACAATGTAAATTAAACCAAAAACGAATGAAATATATTGGAGTTACAACTGATGGAACAGCGGAACAAATAATAAATGCTGTAATAA